TTAGGATATGGAATATGTATTAAACCAGGAGAATCCATGAGAATATTTAGGACTATATATTATGTACTCTTAGAAGTGTGATTACTTGTGGCACACATTAATCCCTAGATTATAGGAATATTTGAGAATATAAGAAACTCATCTAATCCCCAATTAGATCATATTTTTATGTCTTGTGGAACAAAAATAGTCAATCTCAACGAAATCGGAGAGCATATTATTTATGATTCTTTTGACATGTGGCAATTTGGCCTTGTTACCGTTACAAAGTAATTGAGAGTTTCCGAATTCAGACGCATGATCTCAAAAAATGTGTCGTTGAGACAACAATGATGGGGGGACATTGCTTCGCATGTGCACGAGAACTGTGAGCTACTTTTTGCTTTTACCAAGTTGCTCCAACTGCCAAAACACATGGGCAAGACAGTCTAAATTCAACGGTGAGATGATTTCAAAAAAATCTTCTATAAATAGCATAGATTTCTCCTCCAATTCATGCATCCAAATTTTTCTAATATGGGAAACCTCAATTGCTTAGTGTTCCAGCCTTTCTTAGTCTTCAAATTATCAATTTTTTCTCTCTTTTTTCCACAAAAAATGACAGCCTTGAGTGTACAGCTAACTCCTGCCACCAATTACAACACTTTCCTTAAACCTCCAATGATCAGAGTAAGCAATAAAAAAGATTGTAATTCCTTCACCCATCATTGCTGGGATTTTCTAAATGGGATATAGATTCGTTAAAACTTCATAGGAATTAACCTCTTCTTCCTGTCAAGTTACTCATTCTTAGCCTTCACGCTCTGCTCCACAGCTAAAAAAGTGTCATTCTCCTCGCAGTTTTTGCATACAGATATGGCTTAAGTGGAGCGTTGAGATTCTTGAGCGATTCTCCTCCATTGGAACCCTCTTGGTATCAATATGAGGCAGACAATGATGTAAACTTTGGAACAATAAATGCCTCCACCGAAAAAGAACTAGACTATTTCCCTTTAAGAATCTAAAGATTTTTTTGCTAAGGGTGATGGTTTGTCTCCGCTAGAATTGTTTTATGCAATGAATACTTGCTCACACATGTTTGCTCAGGTTATTTACTCAAGCCATTGATCTTATTAAAGTAAACCCCTTGGAACCTTTCATCCCCTGCTTCCTTATTGTGGAATAAGTAATGCAGTCAAACTTGAATAAACTTGTAAGCTTATGTGAGTTTTAGACCCCTTTGATAACATTGCAGGAAAAATGTATCCCCTGAACTTAGTGTTTATAAATATCCTATTGTGATGACCGGAGTCCCACCCTACTCCGACACCATGTTTAAGACACATGAAAAATCTCTTGCTCCGAAACTTGCTTTGATGCATTTATCGGACTAAGGATGAAAAGGTGATCGTCTCTATTCAGAATGGCCTCTAAATCTTAATGTTAGTTCAACATGTTTCAGTTGCTTTTGTTAGGTCAATAATAATTGCTAACATTTGCAGAAGATTAAACTAAGTGTTGCGAGATATTTTATGCATGACTTTGAATCCATTTATTAGTGCACCTTAACCCATTTCGGGTCTAAGAATTTTAATAATCGCAACATGTAACCAAGAAGAGGCTTCCTTCTCAGTCTGAATCGCATGCCCATACCTAGTGAACATTAACAAAAAATTCGTTAGGGACCTGGTCGCTTGCATGTGGGGATCAGAAACACCTTTGGAATCCTTTTGTTAAGTTACTTCCACGAATCAGAGCTCTATTGGAATAAAATTCCATATTGAGGATTTTCAAGTCTGGATGCCTTCGTCGAATCTGCTTTAGGCAAGAGATCACTACATAACGTACTCAACTTAGTACGCTAGTCTGGGATAGAAGTAATCATACTTTGGGGCCGGAATTTAGAGCCACCACCTAGTTGATTTTTTATTCGCCCTTTTCAATTATTCCTTCGAATGGCCAGTGCCAAGGTTTGAGTGTATAACACACAACCCTTAAATTGCATAAACTTTCCGAAAGCCGGATGGTGCATTAGAAGTTTCTGGACAATAGGGCCATGTCACAATGTTTGTAGTCCACCTAACATAACCACGCTTAGTATAGCTCGAGTCTCCTAAGATACTACCTGGAACATCATAAAATGGGCTTTATCACAAAAGACACCTCTAACATTATTAAATTAAAATTTTAAGCTTGCACTTTTGCAGAGTTTCAAAGCTGTGTGATATTTGAAAAAAAAAAAAAAAAAAAAAAAAAAAAAACCAACCTTTTCCAATGACTAACCACACTTTATGGAAAAACTATCTGGTCTAAGAGATTTATTAGGGTGCATAGAGAAGCAAACATACCTATTGCCCTCTGGAGTCGCCCTTAAAACATATTACAAATGCGCTTAAAACTTATGACGTTTTCAAAGTGTCATTAAAACATTTTTAATGACATTTAGGTAACTGTCATTGACTTCCTTTTAGCATTATTGGTAGGAAACTGTTGTTAACACTTCAAAAATCTCATTCTATACTCCTCACAATTGAGATTTTTTTAGTACCAATAACAATTTCTATTGGTAAATAGAATATTTTTCCTCCCCAAGTAAACTCAACATAAACAATTTTTTGTTGAAAATATTAGTATTTAAGTTTATTTTAATGTTTGGTTTTCTGGGCTTATCCCGTTTAGCATAAGGGTTTCAATTTCTTATCTTTTAGGGTTATGATTAGTTTATTATAAATATAATGTTTGTTATTCAGTCGAGAAAAAGTCAATCAAAATATAGTTATTCGATTGTAGCTGTCTCGACAATCTTATTTAGTCAACAATATTCATAATTATATTTCGTTTGTTAGTTCAACTTAGTATCAGAGCAAGTTTGATCATTCAAAATTTAATCTGCTTCTATTCAGTATCAGTTTGTTTGTCTCCTCCGTTTGTTTGTTTTTTTCTGTTCACAGTTGTCGTTGGCATGTTGCAGAAAAAGTAAAGAAAAGATGGTAGAAAAAGAATTTTTCTGACGATGGTTTTGACAAAGCTCTGACCTGAGAACCACAAACTCGGATCAAGTTTGTCTTTACCTTAGGGCATCTCCAACTGAAGGATCCAAATGGCCAGAGGGCCGAAAATAACCCAAAAACCGTCTCCAACTGAGGGCTAGGCCAAAGGGCTTGTGGGCCCCATAGAATCTGAAATGGCCAAAGGGCTGGCCCCTTCTAGCCAGCCAGCCAGCCCCGGGCTGGCCAAATTTTTTGCTTAACACTGTCGGATATAACCGATAGGAATAAAAGCAATAGTATCAGTTATAACCGACACGAATAGTTGGGAAAATTTTGAATACAACGGCTAGCTGACGTCAGCTATTCGTTATTTTTGAATTTTTTTTTATAGTTTTATTTATTTATTTTTATTTACAAAATTTTTTTCCTATAACTTCTATTTTTTTGGGATAACTTCTATTTTACAAAATTTGTTTCATATTTTTTTTAAATTCTATTTTTTTTCCTATAACTTCTATTTTACAAAATTTGTTTCATATTTTTTTTAAATTCCATTTTTTTCCTATAACTTCCTAAGCCATTATGCAACATTAAATTAAATTAAGTAACATGAAACAACATTAAACAATATAAAACAACATTAAATAATATTAACCAACATAAAAATTATACAACATAAATTTAAGTTGTAGTTTTTTAAATTTAAGTTGTAGTTTTTTTAAATTTAAGTTTTGTAGTTTTTAAATTTAAGTTATTGTAATTTTTAAATTTAAATAATAAATTATGTTTGGTCCTATGACCCTTTGACCTTAGGTTGGAGACGGTTTTTTGTGATAGCGCTAAAACGAGCCCTAAGGCCCTTTGGCCTTAGGTTCGAGATGAAGACAAATATGACGATGTATTATTTATTAAAATATTAATATATTTGAGAAAGCTAGAAGGCTGAAACGAACCATCTGATCAAACTTCGATTGGAGATGGTCTTGGGCCTCACTGTTGAGCCCCGCTTGAATGAACCCACCATGCCAGTATCCACTGCCACATCTGACTGAATGCGAACCGCCCGATCCATTGACCAAATCCGTCTGCTGCTGCTGTTCATGCACCCAGTCGCCAAGCCCGCCGTTGTTGTCCCATCGCACCCAGAGTCACCGCATCGTACCAGATCCAGATTGACCACCAACCTGCACCCAGTTCCACCTCCATGGATTACACCGCTGCTGCTTCCATATTATAGAGGAAAAAAACAGAAAAAAAAATATATAAAAAAAAGGAAAAAAAGGAATAAATATAGCCTATTGCTAGGTCCACACGGGCAAAGGAAAAATGGTAAAGTTTGTTTTAGGCCCTCACGCGTTGTTGGCCTGTTTGGAATTGTTTTGTGACTGTCACTCTGGTGTTGTACATGTGATCACTCAAGTGATAGTATTTTGTTTTTGTTTGTTGTTGCTACAATTAAGATATGGAAATCTCGTCCTTTTAGTGACGGGTTCTTTGCATACTCTCAATACTATCCAATCTGAATCTATAATCAGTTCGCTTAACGGAGCGCCATAAGTTTGACGGGATATTGGAAAACATTAGTATTTAGGTTTATTTTAATGTTTAGGTTTTTTGGTCTTAGCCCGTTTAGCATTAAGGTTTCGGTTTCTTATCTTTTAGGGTTAGGGTGAGGGTTAATTTATTATAAATATCATGTTTGTTATTCAATCGAGAACAAGTCAATTAAGATGTAATTATTCAATTATATTAATCTCGGCAATCTCGTTTAATCAATAATATTCATAGTTATATTTGATTTGTTAGTTTAACTTTTTTTTCTCTAAATCCAAAGTCAACAACACTCGTTAAAAATTTTCCTGATTGCACAAAATATTGATTGACTCAATCTTAATATTGAAAATATTTGCAATTTAAAACAAATTACCGGAGACGCATTCACAAACATATTCTGAAAAAGACATTCTTATTTTAGTACGGCGTCCACGTGCAACACTACGTAGGGGGCACATAACTGTTTTAACCGAAACTCGAGGGACGCCTGGCTTTGCTAGAGTCAGAGACCTCTTCCTTCTCCCTTGGACATAATTGTAGCCTCACTTGATCTTCCTCACAAATCATTTTCTTCTTCTTCTTCTTCCCATTAACCAAATGCCCATTTCTCTCACTCAAACATAAAACATCGCAGACACTCAAATCTTTAGCAGCCATGGATGAAGAATACGACGTCATCGTCCTCGGAACCGGCCTCAAAGAGTGCATTCTCAGCGGCCTCCTCTCAGTTGATGGTCTCAAGGTAATTCAACCTCTGCTTAGTTATGAATTCAAGTATTCTTTCTTTGCAAATTAATTATAAATAATTAATAAGGTCGGGAATCATACTTTCAATCACTATTCTAAAATTTCTCGCTTAGCGCTAAGGGTTAATCCTTGGACGTTTGAAAATTAAGAAAATGCGCCTAAACCTGCTTAGGCGCTCCCACCTAGACCGCCTAGGCACCTACCTAACTAACGACTCTAACTTAGACAAAAAATAGATAACTTTTTTCTTTGTTCCAATATTTATACTCTATATTTCACTCTACTTTGCAATTTATGTATCCTAATGCAATTATGTATTTTTTTAAGAATAAACAAGCACTTATTAATACGATATATCATAATTTACTTAAATCCGCCTAGTCTGCCTAAGCCACTGCCTAGCTGCCTAGGCACTAGGCCCCAAGCCAACGCCCGACTAGCGCTTATTAATACGATATATCATAATTTACTGAAATTTGTCTAGTCTGCGTAAGCCACCGCCTAGGTCCCGCCTAGCTGCCTAGGCACTAGGCCCTAGAACAACGCCCGACTAGCGTTTGGCGTCTTTTAAAACCTTGCTCTCAACATGATTCATGTAAATGCACTTTGGTCTGGAGTGCTAATAGTTTTGTACTTTTGAGATGCATTTTCATAAAACTGAACGCACTGATGAGCATTTACTATAAAAGTACCATCGGTGATCTCACTCTGATTAGGTTTCATTCATTGCAATTTGTAAGAGAGATCAACATCACCTGGATTTAAGATTGTCGTTGCTATCACTTGTCGATAAGAATGTTAAGGCTCCTAATATGTTATTTAATTACCCGAAATAGGTACTGCATATGGATAGGAACGACTATTATGGAGGAGAGTCTACCTCACTCAATCTCAACCAGGTAAGTATCTTAATAATAGTCCTTGGTAATCTTTTTGGCTACACAGTTTGGCTTACTTTCTTGTGAGATATTCCTACGCATGTGATTTGTTTATGGCTTCGGTTTGTCTTCTGGTTTTGGATTTCAGCTCTGGAAGCGATTCAGGGGCGAGGATAAGCCTCCAGAAACTTTGGGCTCGAGTCGAGAGTACAATGTTGATATGATCCCCAAGGTAAAAAGAACGATGCATATGTTTCTTATGGTTGTTCTTTGATTCCTTTTTTAAGTTTTACTTTCCCCCAATCTTCATATATAGGTGATGATCATGGTGTACCATTTTCTGTGTTAATTTGCATGTTAATTTTTAAGCCTGTCAATGATGTGATCTTTGCTCGTCTTTACCACATTCAATGTTTCTTAACGAAGAAATCTGTTTCAGAAATTTCATTTTGTTTTGTTAGTCTGAACTTTGTTTATTACATGAAGTCTGCTTAAATGCTGATATTTCTGACAAGTGATCGCTTAAAAGTACTAGGTTTATTTTCGGTTTGTTCTACATGTTGTTCTGATAATTTGATTCTTTACAACCTCTGTGCATATTTTGACAGTTCATGATGGCCAACGGAGCTTTGGTTCGTGTCCTGATTCACACTGACGTTACCAAATATCTGAATTTCAAGGCTGTAGATGGTAGTTTCGTGTATAACAAAGGGAAGGTGTGACTACTAATAATTTTCAAGTTCACTGAGTGCTTATTAATGTATCATCTATATGACATATATGGAACTCTTAACTTTGGTTCACCCTAATTTTGTTAATGAGGTTTTGCATTATGTTTCCAGGTCCATAAAGTGCCAGCTAATGATGTGGAAGCACTTAAATCTCCACTTATGGGATTATTCGAGAAGCGGAGAGCTCGAAAGTTTTTCATTTATGTGCAGGACTATGACGAGAATGATCCAAAATCTCATGAAGGACTGGACCTCAACAAAGTCACAGCACGAGAGCTTATTTCGTACTTCTTCTTTCTCACATCCAAAATTTGTGCAAACATGTTTAATTTCTGCATGATGGAGTTAAGATTTTTGTTTCTGACATAGGAAGTACGGGCTAGATGACAATACTGTCGATTTCATTGGGCATGCACTGGCTCTCCAGCAAGATGATAATTACTTGGCCGAGCCAGCTATGGATTTTGTGAAGAGGATGAAGGTAACGAAGCATGAACTTTTTACTATGAATATGCTGGATATGAATTATTAAACTTCTCGCCCAGTCGAGTCCTATACGTGTATTGAATGTGTTCTACGAAAGAACTGAGTTGCTCCCTTTCGCTACACCTTTCTTAACTAACAAGGCAATATATGGACAATGGCAGAGTTTTCAAAAGCACTAATTAGATGTACCCTAGAAAATTTTCTCAATCCAACTCTACAGTGTTCTATAATATACTCTACTTTCCTCCTTTCGGAAAGTTATATGCAGAGTCGCTCGCACGCTTTCAAGGAGGATCTCCTTATATTTATCCCCTGTACGGTCTAGGAGAGCTCCCCCAGGTATGCTTTCAACCATTATTTCTAGTATCTCATGGATATGCAACTCAGTTCCTCTGACTTTATGTGCTACGAAATTTGCAGGCATTTGCTCGGTTGAGTGCTGTGTATGGTGGCACCTACATGCTCAGCAAGCCAGAATGCAAGGTTATTTTTTCATGCATATCGAAAATTATCTAAATTCTCTATTATAAACCTTTTAATCCATCCTTTCGTACGTGCTATTGATACTTGACTGATGTTGCGAATTGGCAGGTAGAGTTTGAAAGCGGGAAGGCCATTGGTGTGACTTCCGAAGGAGAAACTGCAAAGTGCAAAAAAGTTGTATGTGATCCTTCATATTTGCCTAACAAGGTAACATTAAGAAAATTTTTAATATCAGCAGGGTCATCTGGCATGAGAAGCTTTTTTAAACTGATTTGAGTTCCAATCTCCGTCTCGTGCAACAGGTGAAAATAGTAGGGAAAGTTGCCCGTGCAATATGTATTATGAGTCATCCAATCCCAAACACCAATGATTCTCACTCGGTCCAGGTTATTCTACCCCAGAAGCAACTTGGACGTAAATCTGATATGTAAGCTGTTACCTCTCATGCCAAGATCACAAATTCAACAACTTATGTCACGTTGCAACGAGAACTAATATATCACAAGGACCGTAAGACCTTGTAATAATGGTACTCGATCTGATACGCCTCTGTTGCAGGTACTTGTTTTGCTGCTCCTACTCCCACAATGTAGCTGCGAAAGGGAAATACATTGCCTTTGTGTTAACGGAGGCAGAGACCGATAATCCTCAGGTGGAACTGAAGCCTGGAACAGATCTCCTTGGGGCCGTAGATGAAATCTTTTTTGACACTTACGACAGATACGAACCTACTAACCAGGGTGATGGGGACAATTGTTTCATATCCGCGGTGAGAATGAATGAATTCTTACATCTTCATTTGATTATTATCGTAAGCTCATACATTTATACTTCAATTTGTACTCATGACAACTCTGGTGTTGGAATGCATTGCAGAGTTACGACGCAACGACACACTTTGAGACTACCGTCCAAGATGTGATTGCCATGTACAGCAAGATAACTGGAAAGGTAACTCTTCAAATTTACTCCAATCAGCCAACTTATATAATTGAACATGCTGGATCAATCGTGTAGAACTTAGTTAGCTGCTGCTTGATAAACAAATCCGTCGAGTTCAAATTTGAATTCTTCTCACTGCACCGTGTTTCAGGCCCTTGACTTGAGTGTGGATTTGAGTGCTGCTAGCGCCGCTGAAGAATGAAATTTCGGAACAAGAGCAGCTACAACACTCTGTAGTTCGTTTCATTTCCTCTATTTTTTTTTTTCAAATTTCAAGCTTATTCATCATCTGTTTCTGAGATTCGTTGCGTTCGTTAAACATGTTAATTAGCAGCACCTTCTTTGCTTAAAAAGTTATTCCACTCCAAACGGTGTAGATTTATTTGATCATTCTCAAAGAAGGATATAGAATGTTTGTTCTTCTGAATCTGGCACCAATAAATAATTGTTAAGCAAAATTTAGTTGTTTACTGCTGCAATTTTACGTTTATTCAAGTTTAAAAGATAATTGATGATGTAAGTAGAGTAAGTAGAGCATCACGTGATATGCTTAACCTGAAATCAGAACTGGCCCTAAGATTTGAGGGCCCAAGGCGAGCCACTGAAGGGAGGCCCTTGAGTTCTCAAACCCTTAATGGCGTCGTGCATTCATATTATTTTTTTGTTCCGGTAATCTATTACACGACGAAAGACTAGCTGGTGCAGAAAAAAGAATCATTGAAATAGGAAGGCTCGAAATGGGTTGTGCATTCACCTTCCCTCCTTTTTTCCTTCTTTTTAAAGTTTCCTATTTTTTCTTCATCTTCCTTGAGGGTCAAGGTTCCTGCTTCTAACCCGATCATGTCCGTGAAAACGGTGCATGCCTGGGACATAGATTCCTAGGGCAACGATTGCAGCATAGAAGTAATCAAAACAGAAGTTCCACTTGTTTGGCATCCGTATAGAATACTTCTCAGAGTTCTGCAAAGGCATCAACATATTTGATGAGCATAGATCCAATAAAGACTGCTCTACACGCTCTTTGTAGCTGCGGTGGATAAGCAGAAGATGATATGCAAAGTTCCCTGTACTAGATGAGTAATAAACGACACTACCCCACACCTAACTCTCAAAACCCAGGAAACCACCCCATTTACAACACCCTTCTCACAGAAAAAAAGGCAAAAGAAAAATTATTGGTTTTACGAATCATATAGTTTGATACCTTCATGTGTGGCAGGGCAATATATGTCCTGGAATTCTTCAATATTCTCTGTAAACAGAGCTTGTTATAAAGGCCTTAGCATATTAGGTTTCTAAGGTAATTTGGGAGCAGAAAACATATGTACTGAGTTGCTCTTAGTACATGTTTTCGAAGCAAAAGTTCAAGCCAAACTGTTTTCGAAAAGAAAAAAAAAAATCTTTCATGGTTAAAGCAACAAACTAGCATTTACAAAAATCATTTCATTAAGCAAACATCCTAGGTATTTAATAGGTGCTTTTATAGACAATCTAAACCAAATTGCTAAGTCTTAACATACAAACAAAAGAAAAATAAGGGACTCACCCACTAGCCCATGAACAATCTGTTGCTCCATCCCAACATTGCAAAACCCAATTCAAAGAATAACACAAGAAAAATGAAATGTGAAAAGACATTCTCCAATTTAATTCAAAAAAAAAACAGATTGAGGAATAAATAAACAATTGGAATTGGAGGGAGCAGTAGAAGTAGAACCTCCAAAACGGCGGCGGACTGGGCGAGAAGAAGAGGGCGTTCGACGGCATTGTAAACATGTTGGTGGCCGGATTCACTGAGAGTCTTGAGAGCAAGATACAGTACCTGAAACCTGAAACACAACTCGAATTCAGTTGGGGGGGAGAGAGAGAGAGGGAGACAGATTGTGGGGAGCGGGTACCATCCGAGGAAGACAGTCCAGTCGTAGAGGGAGAGGTATAGGCGTCTGAGAGAGGATAATAGTCCCGCTCCATTGATGACTGATGTCTATGGCAGATCTACGAGCATAGATTAATAGACGAGCGCATTGATGACTGGTGTAACCCCCCATTTCGACTCTTTTGAACCCCATGCCCTCACGAGCGGTGGTAAGGATCGGCACGTGTTCGCTCGTAAGAAAATTGTCAAAATCGGATAAGTTTGGGTCGACTAGTTTCATCGCTAGCGAAGATCGAATGTTACAGTAATTAGGGGAAAGATCGAATGTGACTAAAGAGAGTTGACTTGAATATCGAATGGATAGTTGCAGTCTAATTATTTATAAGCATATGTAAGATTTCATTTCTTATCAATAAGAGATTCAATTCCCAAACGTCCATTTATGTGTGGCGACTTTTCAAGCATAATGCATGGACAACATAACTCAGGTGACGTGAACAACACAATTGAGGCGACATAAATTATATGTGACCGTTGGGCTTCACATATGAGACAATCTGCTCTGATACCATATAGAATTATATTTGTGTTAATTGTATTGTTGATCTCACAAAGATACATATATATACAAGTCAATTGACTTGGAGTACAAGAGTGAGAAACTAAGAGAACTAAGAGACCATAAGGCTATGTTTGTGTGATGGACTTTCATGTCCCAATACATTAAGGAAGTTTGCAGAGAAATAATTACAAAATGTTTGACATGGTGGATTAAAAATGCATTATATGAGCATTACAATAGCATGTGAGAGGAATTTGTAAATAACTACTTAAAAAATAACGTGGGTGTTTATGGAATGTACTGTGTCATGTACATGTACCTATCACTTGAATCTGAGCATGAAAATAATTCAATCCAGAAGATTGTGGGTCAAATACCATATGCACTGATTAATAAAAAAATATGTGACGAAATCAACTTCATCGGCTATAAATCTGCTTACATGAGTTTATGTACTAATTTGACAAATCTAATTATTCAGAAATTTTGCGTGTTGCACGCTTGACGCAGTGACGTATCTATATAAGATTCAAAGTTAGTTCATAGAATGGAGACTATCATGGTCCATGTGGTGGACCGATTAGAATTGGAGTGGAGATAATGTATTAAATTAGATATGGATATCAACCACCGTTTGATGATGTTAATTTCAATACCGCACGAGATATCGATCCTCGATACAAGTCTAGACAAATAAGGGTGAGGAGGTCCGTTTGATATCCAAAAACTGCTTAGCAATAGTATAGTTGGACAAGTGGGGAATGTTGGGGGTGAACTAAAAAGGTTTAGTTAAAGACGGATCTAAATGTTGACTGAGTAAATATCCTGTAATAAGCGGAGTAGTTATGAACCCTATAGACCATCCCCATGCCGACGACACATGGGGACCTAGATACCCACCCTATAGTTACTTGACGTCTCAATTCACGCTGTGCATCTATTTTCACTAATTCGAGCCGTTTATCACGTTTAACTTAGAGAATCTTAAATTTACTTAAAAAAGTTGCTAAAGGTGCTAATTACAGGTGCAAGCTCGATTATCCTTGACAAAGGCAGGGCTCCTGGTGGAGACACGATCCAAATTTTTGTAAGTGGACCCCTTTTTGAAATGTTTTGATGGACATATTGATGATTTTGATAAACTTACATGCCTTAGTGTTTAGTCTTACAGATGAGACTAGTTTGAGTTGTTGAGTACCTGACATTTAGTTATGTTTACTTTGTGATTTAATTTCACCACATGATTTGTCATATATTGAGTGTAGCTTTATTTGCGTCTGTAGGATAATTGCATGTGATATTATATCTAGTAAAGGCTAGATGTATTTGTAAACATGTAAATTTTGTTGCATGCAAATGATGCATCACAAAGCTTTACGTGGCATTTGACTCGTCACAAATGGACAAGTTATCAATGACATGTGGCACAAATCAAGCAAAGGAAGCTCAAAAGGATTCCGAAATTCGGCCAAAAGGGGGAAATACCCCTTAAAATCGGCAAGGGGTCCAAATTGTTCCCAAAACCGGAAAGAAAGGTAAAGCATCTTCACAAAACAAGCAAGAATTGAAGATTGGTCGCAAAATAGGCAAGAAAGCCCTGTAGATTTTGGCCAAGCAAGGGAAAGTGGCTGAAATTAAGATACAAAACATGCCTAAATTCTCCCATAGACGAATCAAGACACAAATCAAAGCCAAATCCATCCAAAGGCAAGTTTTGAGAAGTTTATAAATAAAAGGTCCTCAGACAAGCATAAAGGTCGACAATTTCTACATCAAAAGGCCGAAATTCTCACAAAAGGAGAACCTCTGCCAAAGCTTTCTTCGAAGAACGCACAACCAAAGCCAAAGCTTTCTTCAACCAAAGCCAAAACATTCCCTTGAAGAATCTACAAGCACTTGTGCCAATTGTTTCATGACTTTGTTACAAGCTCAAATCTTATAACGACGTTCGATTCAAGATCAATTCGTCATGACCCATGAATCAACAAAATCCCACAACAACATCACCTTTGCTGTAGGTCATACACAAACCTAAAGGTCAAGACTATCTATGCATTGTTTCAAGCTCAAAACTTGAGGTAACCATTCAATCGTTCGTCCGAGATCAAGTCATCGCGACCCTTGGATTAACAACCTACACATCTACATCAAATTTGAAGACTGAATTAGAGGAAAATTGTGAACAAAGATTGTAACCCTACAAATTCATCAATACAAATCTACTTTGTACACATGTTCTCATTTTATTCGTTACAGGAATTTTCATGTTTACTATTTTGGCACGCCCGATAGGACCTCTCTGTCTTTCATCTCTATCTTCAAATCCACAAGAAATACACATGGCATCAAGAAATGATCAAGTTGTTCCCGCAACCAACGTGAAGAACAAGAACATCCTTGTTGCAAGTGGTGGCACTTTCGACGTCACAACCCGAAGTAAGGCAAGACCTCTCTCTATCATTCTTTCCACCCCTACATTAACTTTGCCGAATAAGCAAAAGTACCAGAGGCACAAGCCCGTGATCACTATGGCCTCGCTAAGGGCGCCAAAGGAAGAAAGCCTGATGACTTATTCCGAGTCGTTGACTTCTGATGCCGACTCAAGCAGTAGCTCGTATCCCGTAGCCATGCAAGTCATGACTACTGGTACGACTTCAATCGAAGAGTATCTAAACAAATCAATCACAAGGTTGACAAAAATCATGGAGGAAAAGGATTTGCAGATTGTTACACTTGTTAACCTTCTGGAGGCGTAACACGACGAGAAAGCTGACCTGAAGGTTGATTCACCAAAAGAGGAAACTAAAGAAAATAAGGAGCCTCTGATGGACAAAGCTGAGGAGAAGCTAGAGGTATACCAAGTTGCGACCCTCATGGGATCTTTCTCTATCCAACAGCTGCAAGAGATGATCACAAACACGATCAAGGCGCAATATGAAGGAAGCTCACATGATTCCGCACTGTACTCAAAGTCATACTCTAAAAGGATTGACGCCTTGAGGATGCCAAGGGGTTATCAACCACCCAAATTCATGCAATTCGATGGAAATGGCAATCATAAACAACATATTGCCCATTTCATTGAAACCTACAACAATTCTAGGACGGAGGGAGACTACCTCGTCAAGCAGTTCGTGCACTTACTAAAAGGTAATGCCTTTGACTGGTACACCGACCTCGAGCCCGAGTCTATCAACAGTTAGGACCAGCTTGAAATGGAATTCCTCAACCTTTTCTACAACACTCATCACATCGTAAGCATGCTGGTGCTGAAAAATACAAAATAGTGGAAGCATGAACCTGTCGTCGACTACATTAATAGGTGGTGCTCATTAAGTCTGGATTGCAAAGATTGGTTTTTTGAAACCTTCGCCATTGAGATGTGTGTTCAAGGCATGCACTGGGGGCTACATTACATCCTCCAATGCATAAAACCAAGAACTTTTGAAGAATTGGCAACTCGATCCTATATGATATGGAGTTGAGTATTGCCAATCATGGGAAGAAAGAGCCAATCACTGACTTAAAAAAGGATAAGGTGTTCGCTCTAAATATAGACAAGACTGGGAAAAAGCTCGCCAAAAAAGCTATTGTCGTCCATACTACCCCTATCAAGACCTCCGCCGCGCCCATCAAGATCTCTTCTAAAAGAAAAATAAAGGATATGAAATGTGAGCCTTCTCGCACCCAAGATAGGTGCAAAAACACCTTGAGGGAACTGGAGCAGGAGACGTACCTTTTTCTGACTCTGACGTGGTTGCAATGCTAGACGACTTGCTGGAAAAAAAGATAATTAATCTACTTGAATGCAAGCGCCCCAAAGAGATGAATCGCGTTAACTATCCTAGGTACTACAAGTATCTTCATATTGTGAGTCATCCTGTTGGTAAGTGCTTCATCCTCAAGGAGCTCATCATGAAGCTAGCACAACAAGGACAAATTAAACTCGACCTAAAAGACACGGTCGCAACACACATTACCACGATTGTGTTCGGATCCTTTGATCTCGTGCCTCTTCAAGTGACGCATGATCCTTTTTGTCCATGCTCAAGCCACATGACACCTTCCGTACAATCATCATTGGGGGCAAGTGACCAAAATGCTCCTACCGATGATGAAAAATGATGGACATTAGTAACTACAAAAAGACAATGAAGCCAATACCACAAGCCACAAGGCCAAACGTGGAACAATGGAGAAAGCACCGCCGTCGCAACAGTAAGGAACCCAAAACAAACGTAAGAGCTACTAAGCCAACGTACGTTAGGGAACCCATAGAGCAAAAGACACACATTCATGTCTTCTTGCACGAGTACTTCCTGAATAACTTCTTCCAACAATGCATTACCGTTGCCTGTCACATGATTGAAGTAGAGATAGAAGAGCCTTTAAAAGGCAAAGCTGTTGCAATCGAGGAAGAAAAAACCTCTACGCCCAAAGAAGGCCTACCAACATACTTTAGCATCGAGGAAGCACTATTATTGCCCAAGGAGATGCAAAAAGCACCAATAGCTTTATGATGCACTTGACGAAATAAGGCTTGAAGCTCAACAACACTTGGAATGCTACCAAGCACGGTTATCCAAGACATTTAATAAAAAGGTTCGCCCAAGGTTTTTCCAAACTGGAGATCTTGTCTTGGCATTACGAAGGCCTATCAGCACAACTCACAAGATAAAAAACAAGTTCACATCAAAGTGGGCTGGACCTTACATAATACAATAGGTCTACATCAACGGTGCCTACTTAATCATGGCGAAAGACGGCTTGAAGATCGGCCCCATTAATGGAAGATTCTTGAAGCGTTACTACCCCTAAACTAAACATCGAATGCTCCTCGACTGCACGAGCTAAAATTGCAACACAGCACTAAATGCTCCTCACCTGCATGAGCTAAAATTGCAACACGACACCAAATGATCCTCGCCTGCATGAGCCTAAATTGCATGCGACACAATGCTCCTTGTTCGCACGAGTTTAAAAGGTGACACTCAACACTCCTTGTTTGCACAAGTTTAAAAGGCGACATCCAATGCTCCTTGTTCGCATGAGCTTAAAAGGCGATACCTAATGCTCATAGCCCGCAAAAACATAAGCTATGTACGGCAAAACAGAAAAAAAAAAAAATTCAAAATCACCATCAAAATAGTCAAAACCATCAAAAGCAATCCTCGGCTATTTCGATGAGAAAATTCCTCCATGCTAGGAACAACCTCTTCTTAAAACTTACCCTGGATCAGTAAACCTCCTATCTTATGGAGATCCCAAAGTGAAATCGACATCTCCCCTTGTGTCGTGTAAAGTGTGTTGGTCATTAAACACCAATGCTTGAAAATTCATGAAGGATGGAAGGATGGCGATCATAACTAAACAAAGATGCATATATAGTGTTATAAAGGCCCACATTAGTAAGTACATCTTTAGATTAGCTCAAGACATCTTCAAGCCATTCCCAATAAAACTCAACAAAGACGGCTTCTCCAGTAGTAGACAAGATACCACTCTAAGTCATAGTTTACATATGCGATCACCAAACAGCTTAAACAAAGCCGGTGAATTGTCACGAACATGGTGCGAAAGATTCAAGATAAGAATCCTCGACGTACACGCCTTCTTCTTTGTATTTGGTCAACCAAAATATATCACCTCCTAAGATACTTCAGAAGACCACGACTTGATATACATTGAGTTGTCTATTGTGGAAGAACAAGAGGCTCAATCAACGACGCACAAAGTTTCAACGTCGTTCCCCTATCTTACGAGTCGCATTCCTTCGCTAGAATAGTGATGATATTGCTTTTAAAGCACTTAAAAATACCACGGCTGCAACGAAAAAAAAAAAACAGCATAAGCATAAGAGTGGGGTGACAAGAAGAAAAAATTTGCTTTACTAAAGCAAAAGATAAGAGACAAACCTCGTGAGCATTGAAGGATGACGATGACAAAGTCACAACGACGAAAATAAATTAGCCACAAAGCTTGAGTAGCACAGCAAAAAGGGCAGCTACAAGACGATCCTTCAAAGCACGCTACAGTAGCAAAGAAACCAAAATGCTACGCAATCGCATTATACAACCCCACAGCGATTACGCAAGCAATTTCTTGCACTGCACGGTAACGTCACCATCGAGGGAAACTGCAATCAAAAGGCACTACACATCGTAAACTCGCTGCAGTCTTTTGCACATCACCACACGGTAAAAAGTGACGCACTGCAACAAGCTTTCAATAGCTACAAACTCACGGCATCAAGCAGCACACACAACAATGAATTATGAAAAAATACACACCCAATTGTCCTATAAATAAGGGTCAATTGCCTCCTAATGCTATAGGGAAAGTACATACCAAATAGCAAAAGGAAAATCAAAACAAGGAATCGCATTCTAGCTGTAACAAGGAAGCAAATTCCAAGCAAAAAAAAGTGTAAGGTGATACACAGCAATAGGGAAAAAAATGTTTTTTTTTTTTTTTTTTTGCAACAAAATCAGCAAAGAAAAGAAAAGGAAACAAAAACAAAAACAAAACAAAAAAAAAAAATTTGGAAAGGGCTTCAAAATTTCCAAAACATCAAAGGAAAGTACATTTCCTTGCCAACATACAAAAGGCAATCCCTCCAAAGTAAGGACAAGCCTTCAAGTTTCCCAAACCAAAAGGGAAACACTCCCTTAGCTGAAAAAATGGAAAGGGAAGAAAAAATGCAAATCCTACTTACCCAAGGACAAGCATTATATCTTTCCAAAACCTTGAAGGAAATCACCAGAACTTTGCAACACTTTGAAGGAAATCACCCTCATTACCAAAATTGAAGGAGATTCCTACCTAAGGAAAAAGCATTTTTCTCACACCCACAAGGAAAAAAATCCAAGCCTCAAAATACACCAAATTTATTTTGTCAAAATTATGGAAAATCAATATGCACAATAAAGATGTGTCAATTTATCCATTTTCAAAATTTTCATTTGAGATCAAGCTTCTACGGTCCTTGAAAAAAATTTCCATTTCATTCAAGATTGAGCCTCTAGGACCCTCGAAGAAAATTTTCATTTCATTCAAGACCAAGCCTCAACGGTCCTTGAAGAAATATTTCGTTCAAGCAATACGCCTCAATAGTCCTTGACAAAATTCATCATCTCAATTTAAGAAATACTCCTCAACGACCCTTGACAAAATTCATCATCTCAATTCAAGAAATGCGCCTCTACAGCCTTTGAAGAAGCAAACTAATTCAATATCAAGTCTTGACAACCCTTGAGTTAGAACATTCAGATTGCAGGACTTCAAAACACATTTCCTACATGTGACAAGCACATGCCTACAACGCACCTTGAAGTGGGGGCATTTGTAGACATGTAAATTTCATTGCATGCAAATGATGCATCATAAAACTCCACATGGCATATGACTCATCACAAATGGACGAGTCATCAATGATATGTGGCACAACTCAAGCAAAGGAAGCTCAAAAGCATTCCAAAATTCGGCCAAAAGGGGGAAATACCCCTTAAAATCGGCAATGGGTCCAAATTATTCCCAAAATTGAAAAGAAAGCTAAAGCATCTTCACAAAACAAGTAAGAATTGAAGATTGCTCGCAAAATAGGCAAGAAAGCCTTATAGATTTCGGCCAAGCGAAGGAAAGTGGTTGAAATTAAGACACAATACATGCCTAAATTCTACCATGGACGAATCAAGACACAAATCAAAGCCAAATCCATCCAAAGGCAAGCTTTGAGAAATCTATAAATACAAGGTCCTTTGACAAGCATAAAGGTTGACAATTTCTACATCAAAGGGCCAAAATTCTCACAAAAGGAGAACCTCTGCCAAATCTTTGAAGACTAATACGCTGCAAAAGCTCTCTTTGAAGAACGCACAACCAAAGCTGAAGCTTTCTTTTCACCAAAGCTGAAGCATTCCCTTGATGAATCTACAAGCACTTGTGCCGATTCTTTCAAGACTTTGTTACAAGCTCAAAACCTGTAACGACGTTCAATTCAAGATCAAGTAGTTAAGACCCTTGAATCAACAAAATCCCACATCAACATCACCTTTGCCGTAGGTCATACACAAACCTAGAGTTGAAGACTATCCACACATTGTTTCAAGCTCAAAACTTGAAGCAACCGTTCAATCGTTCATCCGAGATCAAGTCATCGCGACCCTTGGATTAACAACCTACACATCTACATCAAATTTGAAGATTGAATGAGAGGAAAATTGTAAACAGAGATTGTAACCCTACAAATTCATCAATACAAATCTACTTTGTACACGTGTTCTCGTTTCATTTGTTACAGGAATTTTCTTGTTTACAGTATTATTAGACACTAGTAAATTTATTAGCTAGTAGATGCTAACAATACACAAGTAGGCGTTTGTGTACACACACATGCATGTACTTGCACTAGTAGATGCTAGTAATCTATTGCAGTTTCTTAAGTATGATTTCTAATGTGTGATTGGCATGCATTTCTCAACTATAATTGTAGTAGATACTAGTATGGAGTTGTAAACTATACGAGTTTTCTAAAACCGGAATTAGTGCTTTCAAAAGAATTTAATTAGATAAATGATTATGATCCACTCACATTTTGTTTTTAGCTCCTCAGGACCTAGTGAGGCAAAAGTGGTAGTAACGACGACGAGTGGGCTTGGCAGTAGTGCATTCCTCCTATGAGGTAGCGTGATTCTACTTCTGTCTTTTATTTATCTAGTTATAATAAATCATAGCCAAACTTTCGGTTATACTTGCATAACGCATATTGTTGTCGTTGCATGTACTACTGCTATGCTCTGAACATGATGTGACCTGTAATATTAAGGTTAAATTCTAATGTGTCCCCAAATGGGAAGGTTGTTGTAGTCGACTTTTCGTGCATGATAATTTAGTTGTTTATAATTATTACTTATAGCTTCGTCACCATTTTGATGATGGCCAACGCATCTCCACCTTTAATTTGAGGGTTATCAGAATCAGAGTGTGTTAATCTAGTCCTTTTCACTTTTACAAACCTCATGTGTCAAATTTTACACAAAAAAACGGAGACATTTAATAGTTTTGGTTTTTCATGTGAAATATAACACATGGCAATTTGCTTTTGTCAAAGGAAAAATGCAAAAGTTGCTTCCAGTCTTATCTAAAAATAGGGATCACTGTCAAAGGAAAACTAACAAATTTGTTACTGCAACAGTCTCTAATTTGTTTCATGTATCGACGTTTCATTTTCAGGTAGTGGCATTTTTGAGGATCTCCGAAAAGGTGATCCTTTTTTATTCCTCCAATCAAACGCCCATGTGAACCCAACTATATATCCCCGGTTCCAACACTAGGCTCTTTCTCTCTCCTCTCTCTCTCTGTCTGCTCGAAGGAAGATCTATCTTTTTATTCCTGTGATCAGAGATGAATTGTCTCCAGAATCTCACAGGGTCTCTCATCCATTTCCTACGCATATATTCCGTAAACATTCACCAATTTTCTTTACCAATTAATTGATCTTTTTTTCTTTTCGTTCTCTTTTTTTTTTTCCTTCAAATTTCAGATCCTCTGTTTTGCCTCTCCGGAGCTTCAGAAGCAATCCCACGAGGAGGCCTTCCTTCTCTATCGCAACTCTGGTATGCTCATCCTTCTCCATTACGTATAATCTGCGTATGCATGCGTGGTGTGAAATTTTTTGCAGATTTTATGAACTTCTCTCGCTCAAATGCAGGGAACGATGAGCTGCATCGATCTACCCAGAAGCATGGCTGTGAAGGTAGATTAAGATTTTTGAAAAGTTGTGTGATATTTTCATGCTTGGATCTTATAGTCTTGTTTTTTACTCTATTGGCTTGGTTTCTTTTTTGGGTAATTTGTTTTTTCTCGTGTTAATGAAAGTTTGAGTATGGGAGATGGAAGTAGACTAATAGTTATGTATGTAGTTTGTGTCAATTGTAATTGAGATTACTTCAGCTGTATCATTTTCCGGAAATAAGTGTAGTTAACAGCCTGGTGTTACTGGTTTAAGCTGCTAAAGTAAGTGGTGAATTGTTATGGTTTAGGAGAAGTAGATAATGGACTCATGGTCGATGCGCTATGAAATTAACCCGCATACGTTTTAAGCGTTTGCACCAAAATTTGTACCTCCAAGTTATGGCGGTAATACATGATCGGGTATGAACTATTTGCATTACTAAACATCAACAGGGGGAAGCCATAGACACCGTTCATTTGACATAATATCATTTGTCTGTGATGGCCCAATTATGTTAAGTAGTTTCTGTGGATCTGTGTGTGTTTTTGTAGAGTAATTGGGATGAGCAGTATGCATGCCTTAATTCGATTAGTTGTTCAATTTTTGAGACGTGTTGTTGTCTTGTATCTGTCGTCGATCATGCTACTTGGTGCGACTCTGTAGGCAATTTCTGGTTCCACCTCTAGTGCTGAGACGAGTGGTGCTGAAGCAAAAGAGGAAAAGTCTGAGATATATAGTAATAACATGACAGAAGCCATGGGTGCTGGTAAGTTAAATGCTTAAAATTTTTGTAGGCATGGCTCGATATAATGAGAAACAAGATATGAAAATGTGAGATTTTTGAGTGTTGGCAATGTTACTTTGTTTTTGTCATTGTAGCTAACAATTTCTCATATAATCTTGATGCAGTCTTGACCTATAGGCATGAGCTAGGTATGAACTACAACTTCATACGTCCAGATCTGATTGTGGGGTCTTGCCTACAGGTGATCCTTTTTTTTTTTTTTTTTTTATAACTGGCCATATGAACAACTTTTATCCATTGTTAAAGCTTCCTAGTCTGAGTATTTTTATTTTACTTTTAACCAGACACCTAAAGATGTTGACAAACTCCGAAGCATCGGCGTGAAGACCATTTTTTGCTTGCAACAAGATTCAGATTTGGAGTATCCTGAATATGTTGTCTTCAAAGTTTTCTTTTGACATATAGAACTCATTACTGGAAAAAAGCATATTCACATGGTTCACTTCATTAGGCATGAGGTAATATGTGTAATGTGTTCGCCATTTGGGGCAACTGTGACAATATAAGTTTAGTTAGAAGAAAATTAAACTATAATTTCCTTAATTAGAACTTCCAGATATTTTAGTGTTGACATCGGTGCCATTCGAGAGTATGCCAACACATTTGATGACATTGAACACTTGCGTGCTGAAATAAGGTTCATTATTTGCAAAATTATTGGTGTTTCTCTTATTCTCGTTCATTTTCTAGAATGAATTTCTGAAGCAGTTAACTTCAGTTTCTATTTCCCAATTCTGTGACAATTACTTGGAATGATCTTTTTTGTTGTTGCTCTGTTTGGAGAACAATATCAATAACCAGCTTATAAACTTTCACTTACAGGTTTTTATTTCCATTACATACATGCACATTAGGACACATGACACATTCATATATAGTTGCTTCATATGTGCAGCCTGCTAATGTCTGATGTTGCAGGGACTTTGATTCATATGATCTACGTCTCCGGCTTCCTGTTGTTGTTAGCAAATTATATAAAGCCATAAATCGAAATGGAGGTGTCACTTATGTGCATTGCACTGCTGGACTTGGAAGAGCTCCTGCAGCTGCGGTATGTTGTTAATGGTGTATTTGAAACAATGTTTTAAAAGGCTTGCCTTAGGGCGCACCTAGGCGTCCTCTGAGGCTGGGCGTGAGGGTTGTCGCCTCTATTTTGAGGGTGTGAGCGGAGGGGGTCGCCGGAGCCGCCTAGGCGCGCCTCAGGGCTTTTTTTTTTTTTGTAACTCCCAAACCCAAATTTTGGGTAGGTTTTAACTGCCTCATACCTCTTCCTTGCACTATCGTCTCTCTGCCTTTTTTTTTCTGATTTTTATTTTTTTATATATTGGATGTGTGTGCTGTGTGTGTGCATTGTTATATGTGTGCTCATTGTGCTTTTCATCCTTTATTATATATATATATATATAGGTATATATGTGTGTATATATTTATAATATATGTGTGTGCTCAGGGTAATTATTGATTAATAATCTTCTTTTTTTAATATAATATATGTGTACGCTTAGTGTATATATTAAAAAATTTAGGTCCCGTGAGGCTTTGCCTCACACCTAGGCCAGGCTATCCCTTGGACGCCTCGCCCACGCCTCACGCTTTTAATACATTGTTTTGAAAGTAATGTTATTCTTCCCAATGTTTGCGCAAAATAGCAAACACCTTATGGAACTAATGGATTAAACCATTCACATGGAAGCCCACCCACCTACTTATCAATTTATATTACTTACATAAATTAGTGTTGTGTTTGTGCTTTTGGCATCAATGGCATGTATATTTTCATCGATCAACATTTGTGTTTGTGTTTAGTACTTTGAGACTTCTTCCTCTTTTATTTTTCAGCCAGAATTAATGCTTAGTTCAATATAAATTCAAATTAATCTGTTTGACATCCAAGGTATACTTTTAGAAAATTGACCAGGGAAAATGAACAAGGGGAAAAGGTTTTAGTAAATTAACATAAATTGGGGAATATTTTTGGTCAAAGCCAAAACATACGTTTAGTAGATTATGTAGAAGGGAAAGCACATACTGTTTGTATAAGGACAAAATGTGGGAGTATAAATGCAAAACACTGATATTTGACAAGCTGATTCCTGTATTGTAGTGAACCCATGTGACGTGTTTTCTGTGTGGGGTCTCATATTTCCCTTCAGCTAAAAATTTTGTTTTTTCTTTTAGACCATCCGCAGACCTTGCAGTTTCTTGAGCCCTCTTGACAGACTGCTTCCAATCCTGTTCAGAAATCTATAAAGTGAATACGAAATAAGCTGACTTTCTTGCCCAATGGACAATGATTGGTTTTATTTCAGAAGGCTTGGTGAAATGCTAATGTACGCAGTTAAGAATTTAGTAAAATTTGTTAGAAAATCATTTTAAGTCATATGAAGCCTGCAGTGATAGACGGGCATACACAAGTAAATGCATATCCAAATAGTCTTCAATGTGAGAAAAAACAGTGAGAACTGTTGAGAAGGCTCCCGTTAGTCGTAACATCAAATTGTTTTTAACTTCCAGGCAGTGACTCTCGTTTCATATACTTGTTGGATTGTCTATTACACAGATCAGTGTGGTGTGTCAGTTATTTCGTTTTAACACTGTTCCTGAATGTTGTTATGATGGCAGTTGGCTTACATGTCCTGGGTACAGGGATACAAACTTACAGATGCTGTCAATTTACTGCTGGTAACTATTTCTTTGACATATTCCGATGGTTAATTTATCAATATTCAATACAACATATCTTGTTGGTAAAGAGTTCCTGTACATTTTATTTATTGAAAATGAAAGTTCCAAGTTATTTCTCAAAAGTAGAAAAAAAAAATGCCAGGAGAACCTTGAACTTGAAGCTTATTTCGTATGACAGGAGATCGTTCTAACATAAAACCAGTCATTGATATTGGACAAGTTTTGGATTCACGAAACTATGACAGGAGAACCTTGAATATGAATCTTTAAAACCACTCATGAATTTTATGCAGTTGTAAGACATTGCTATTTTCTGAAGAAAAAAGTTTCAGAAAGTTCGAATCAGTGATATGATAGCTAATTTGAGCAAATGGGAAAGTGGGCAACTGTACTGCATAAATTAATGTGGAACTTCATAACGTCTCAGTAGTATCTTTTTTCTGGATTTAATGCAGAGCAAGCGTTCGTGCTTCCCAAAACTGGATGCTATAAAAAATGCTACCGCAGATATTGTGAGTCTATTTTTTTTTTTCTTTAATGTCATTTCATATATAATTGCGCAAGTTGTCTTCCAGTTTTTCAAGTTTATCAATTTTCAACTTGAAAATATGATGATATAGTAAGAAGTTTCAGGGTGCATGTTGTTACTTCATTCAAGTGCATGGTGACTCTCTCTTTAATAGAAAGTTTAGACCAATATTCACCCACAACACAGTAATACATCCATTCTTTTACAAGCCATTAATTTACATTCCTTAACAAAAATATCTTCCCAAAATTGCCAGGCGGTAAATGCCTGCTGGTGATTGTTTTAAACTTTTAATTTATGGGAACTTTAACGAAAAGCTCCCGGTACTGTTCATTTTAACGAAAAACCATATTTTTACACTAAAAAGCCAATCCTGGTACTATTCACTTTACCCTTTATTTTGTCCTTATCGTTAAAACTCAAAGTTTTCATGCTCTTTTCATTAGTTTTCCTTTTAATTTATTGATGTTTGAATTCATTAGTAATCTAAATTATTGTAGGGTGGTTATTTTCCCTTTCTTCTTTTGTATTACTGAAATTTGCAGCAACCACCTGAACTTCCAGGGTGTGCATTTGCTTGCCACCCAAAGAAATATTTTTAACAATTAGCACCTAGGCTTAGATTTGGTGCCTAATTTACCACCTCCATCTATTTCTGAAACAAAGTTCATTTGATCTGATATCTGTCTTATTTTATTATATAAATATGAAGTTATTAAAAACTCATATGTCACATATCTTCTCATCATAAAGCTTACAGGCATGACAAAAAGGGTTGTCACATTGACTTGGGGAGGTGATAATTGCTCTACAGTGGAAATCTCAGGACTTGATATTGGATGGGGTCAGGTAATAACCTTTTTCAACCTTAGCAGCAGACTTAATGTTTGATATAGCTTCAAACTGTGATTTTAATGTATAGTGCATGCTATCTCTAAATGCGTAGTATGGTATGGACGGTTTTGATCAATGAGGATTGACTCTTGGGTATTACTTCCCAATGCTCGTTTTTCATATTAATGTGATAGAGATGATGGGGAAGATTAGTCTTGTAAGAAACGTGGATGTATATAATCATGTACTAGAGATGCTTGCACCTTAAGAAAACATGTCGTTCTCTTCATGACCAAGCAGCGAGTAGAGTTGCCACATACATATTGTTCAAAGGAGATTTTGCATATCTTAGTAAAGTAATTGAATGATAGCTGTCTGGCCTATTTGTAAAGACAAGGTCCTAGTAGCGGCTAATTAGATACGATATACAGATGTCACTTGTAAACTCATTGCTGGTCACTAAAACATAAATTATGTCATTGTGGTGCAACCTATGACAAGCAGTGCATTAGATTGATTGTTTCTGTGCCATGGAGTTCAAATTTCATCAGAACAGAACTGCTGTTGACTTGAATAGTGCTGTGAAAAATAGTTGCTTCTTCTTTGGGTAATGGCCAAGAAGTTTTCCATTTGCATTTCTTGTTTATGGTGGACAAGTGAAACATAGTGTTTTTGAATGCTTAAGATATTGTAATTTCAAACTGTTGGAAATTCGGTGATAAATGTTTTCTTTTCAATCTATGATTTACTCTTGTGATGCTTGTCCAGAGGATTCCTTTAGAGTTTAATAAGGAACAGGATTCGTGGATTCTCAAGAGGGAATTGCCGGTGAGCATTTTTTTGAATCAAAAGTTTGCTTATGTTTGGTCTTTCAGGCTCAACATGGGTTTTTCATAACACATTGAATGTTGCATTCATCGACCAGCTTATTAAAATAAACTCATGCTTTACAGGAAGGACAATATGAATATAAATACGTCATTGATGGTGGGTGGACACACAATAAGCACGAGCCTTTCACCTCTCCCAACAAGGATGGCCATGTCAACAATTATGTTCATGTAAGGTTCAGCTTTGAGTCTGTACTTCGTAAATATTGAAGAACATAAAAGGAAGATATCCTAGCGGATAGGGTGTTGGGTTTCTACTCATGCGTCCTGGATTCGAAACTCCTCCCTTCCCTAAATTATTGTAATAGTTTTGAACCCTCCCCCTACCCTTAATAATAATAAAATAAAATAAATAAAAATAAAAGGAAGATATAAATATATGTTCTTTTATAAGAAAATCTTGAGGTTCTTTTGTTATCGTGGGCAAGAATAAAACAGTAAAATCTTGAGATATAATGCCCGTCAGGGCTTTGTTTTTGGAAAATTTTGTTTGCGCATAAGTTTTAGTCTTAAGGAGGCAATGTGACCACTGGACATAAAAAACTTTCCGGATATCTTTCTCTCTTTGTGAAAAAATGCCAGATATGTTTCAGGGAAAATGGAAAGGAAGTTATAAATTTGCTGCATACTTTGTGGGAATAGGAACCTTTGATCTCATGGTTAACGGATTCTAATTGTCCAGATCGCACCATATTTCTTCTCATTGGCTGAGCTTCTCTTGCAGGTTGTTGAGGACGACCCTAACAGTGAAAGTGCGGCCATACGGAAGAGGTTGACTGGTGATGATCCTCATCTTACAACCGAGGAACGACTGAAAATAAGACGGTTTCTCGAATCTTGTCCCAGTGATGAGTGAATTACAAAAGGGCAATACAAGTGTTCTAGCATGTAAAGTAGTAACTGTACGAGTTCCCTAGCATCACATGTTAACATATATGAAATAAATGTGGTATAGTATAGTTAATGATCAATAAATTAAATTCGTATTCCAGCAACAATTTAATAATAGAAAGGAGAAGAATTTTAAGTGACTGACCTGATTTCTGAGTGGAGATTGGAAACAGCTGATAAATGTTGTAGAGATCTTTGCAGGAGGATGAACATAGGAAAGCTGTGTTTGATTGTCGCAGAGGTAAGTCCTGCTCAACTTGAATTTTCCACTGCCTTCGCTTCATGATTATTGGTTCAAGTAGATTCGATTTGATGCGAGTTTGTCGAGAGATGTATGATAATTGAATACTTGCTACCTGCACAAAATTCTACTTATATTTGTTTGATCCGTAAACCCGAAACTTAACTACTGGAGGGTTCAAGACTTGTAGAGATGATGATAGGATGCGTTCTGCAGAGGTTATTAGAGATTGTGGAATTCTCGGGGTTACTGCAAGTGACCGATTATTAGTAGTGAGCTTGTTTTATTGAATTATTGTCTGTTGTTTTTTTGAATTATAATTTATAATGTAGCTTAAGTTTGAAGTATTTGGGCTCATGAGTCAAACTTTCAGTCTGGTGTTAGACAAAGTGATCTAACATTTGGACTCATTTGAGAATCTGAATACGTTTATTATTAATGTCCGGCTAAAGTATGAAGGGTTGAAATTCTATTTTCTGCCAACTTATTGACAAGATTAATTGTTTTGAATGCAAAAAATCATCTTGAGGGGTTTGAACTTTAAATTTTGAGTCCCATCTTGGTTAATATTGCTTTCAAAGGTCATTCCATACCTAAGCAATGTCATACTGTTTAGTCTTTCTGACCAAAACGGTTCTTGAGATTAACATAAATCCCTTATTTTGATCCTAAAAATGAAAACTGATAGAAGTGGATGCTGATTTTGCCTATCGTAAATCATTTTGGTTTTTTTATGCAAAGTTGGCAATGTTCTTGTTAAATTGTCATATGAACGATCACATGAAAGGGAGGAGTTATACTAATCTCAAATTATTTTAGCAAAAAAAACCTACTTACGTATAATTTAGTGGTACGCATTTTATTGTATTTCAAAAATGAAGGTGGCATTTTACCACAGTGACGGAAAGTAATCATGCATATGTATTCTGATGCGGAATCAATCCCGATCGATTTGTCTCTCTTAACAACTAACAGGTTAATCTATAAATGCCATTATTGTTCGTAAAAAAGAATTTTATTCGTTTAAATGGTGACTTGATAACAAAATGACAGGAGGTAATGTTGTATAAATTTAGAGACTAAAGAGAGAAATATGGAGAGAGGAGAGAAGGGCTTGAATGGTAGATAATTTCTCATGCCTTGTGATTTTATTTATACTACTAGGTCCATCTCCAACTTTTAGGTTAAAATTTAAAATTTAACCTAAAAAATTTAGGTTTTAACCAAGAAATAGTTTTTATACTTTAACCCTTCCAGTAAGGGCAGACATAAAAAATTTGGAACTGCAAAATCGAATCAAACAAACTGTAAAAAACCGTGTTGATAAAAAAAAGTCAATCTAGGTTCAAGAATCTAACCGAACTATACATAACGGTTCTGGTTTTTAGGTTGGTAGAACTGTTTAGAACCGGACCGAATCGTGAATATAAATAATTAATTAAATTTAATAGTTGTATACAAGTGTCACTAAATGAGTGGTGAAAACCAAACTGGTTTCACTTAGTGCGACTGCATGGGAGCATTTCTCAATTAGTTTTTCATTTGCATGGTTCACCTATTGAGATAAGGCACATATTTGAAAAAATGAGGTCATTTTCTCTCATAGATCTCCAAATTTGACATTCAGGTTTTGATTTCCCTTTTCTTTTTTTTTCTTTTTTTTTTTTTTTTTTTTTTTTTTAACATAGAATGGTCTTAAGGTGTTCAGTTACATCGTACTTTTTTTTTCTTTCCCATTTTCCTGGGCCTTTTTAATCTCTTGATAAGTACCTTTTGGGCTTGAATTATTGAATTCGTACTAACATTCTTGCTGCTTATTAAATGTATTTGTACGTGTGGATGTATATTTGTATTATGAATGTATATGTACATTTGAATTGTGTTTCTTTTTGTTTGTTTGGTGTTAAGGACATTTGCATTTTGATTTAGTATTTGAAAAGGATATGTTTTGTTTGTAACTTTGTATAACCATTTTAGAAGTCATATTTGAATGCAAGTATGCAAAAAACAAGAAAAAATTAGGGTAAATGACAAAAAACTACCTCAACTGTTGGTCTCATGACACTATCATACCTCATCTTTTTAAATTGACAATGTCATACCTCATCTTTAGAATGGTCGTTATACCTTCCGTTATTTGGCCGTAAATTTTTCAATTAAATGCTAACGTGGCTTGATTCGGAGTCCACTTTCTATTAAACAATTAATAAAATATTATTAAAAATTAAAAAAAAATTATTTAACATTTTTTAAATATTAAAATAATACAGAAAAGTTAAAAAAAAAAAAAAAAAAAACCTCAGTTCGTCCCTTTCCCCTTACTCTCTTCTCCCCCTTCATCTTCTTCCCCCTACCTGCTTAATCTTCAACAAAAAAAAAAACAAAACCTAGTTCATCCATCCCTCCCCCCTTCCCCACCCAACCTGCAAAAGAAGAAGAAGAAGAAGAAGAGAGAGAAAAGAAAAAGAAATTTCTTTTTTTACTTTTCTTTATTATTTTAATATTTAAAAAATATTAATATTTTGGGTAAAATACATAAAACTACCTTAACTATTAGGATCATGACAGCTTTATACCTCATCTTTTAAAATTAAAAATGTCATACCGCATCTTACGAATTTGTTACAATGTCATACCTCCGTCAATTTTTCCGTTAGTTTTTCTGTTAAGTGCTGACATGGCAAGAGACTGGGACCACTTTCTATTAAAAAATTAATAAAATATTATTAAAAACTAAAAAAAATATTTAATATTTTTTAAATATTAAAATAATAAATTAAAGTAAAATTTAAAATTAAAAAAAAAAAAAAAAACCTTAGTCGTCCCTTCCCTCCCCCTCTCTCTCTTCCCCATCTTCATCTTCTTCTACTTAATCTTTAACACACAAAAAAAAAAAAAAAACAAAAACAAAAAGAAATTTGAAAACCCAACCCCACCCGCCCCCCCAGAAGGAGGAAGAACCGAAGAAGAAGAATAAGGAGGAAGAAGAGGAAGAGGAAAAAAACACAAAAAAAATTTGAAAACCCAACCTCACCCGCCCCCCCCCCCAGGAGAAGGAGGAAGAACCGAAGAAGAAGAAGAAGAAGAAGAAGAAGGAAGAAGAGGAGGAGGAAAAAAAAAAAAAGAGGAAGAACCGAAGAAGAAGAAGAAGAAGAATAAGAAGAAGAAGAGGAGGAGGAAAAAAAAAAATTTTGAAAACCCAACCCAACCCCCCCCCCCCCGGGAGAAGGAGAAAGAACCGAAGAAGAAGAAGGAGGTAGAAGAGGAGGAGGAAAAAGAAAATGGAAACTGCAACCTAGAAAAAAAAAAAAACAAAACAAAAAAACCTAGAAGAAGGAAGGAGGAGAAGAAGGAGAGGGGAAAGGGCATGCCGCACTCCTAGGAAATTTTTTTTCGTTTTGTTTTTTTATTCTTAATTTTTTGTTAATATTTAATTATTTTTTAATCCAGCTGGATTAGTGAGTGGTTCCTGTCTCTTGCCGCGTCAGCACTTAACAGAAAAACTAACAGAAAAATTGACAGAGGTATGACATTGTCACAAATTCATAAGATGCAGTATGACATTGTCAATTTTAAAAGATGAGGTATGAAACTGTCGTGACTCCAATAGTTGAGGTAGTTTTTTGTACTTTACCCTATTTTTTTTTTATTAGTTTTTAATAATTTTTTAATAGAAAATGGGTCTCAAATCAAGCTACGTTAGCATTTAACTGAAAAATACACGGTCAAGTAATGGAAAGTATAACATTGGACCAAATTCTAAAGATGAGGTACGACATTGTCAATTTTAAAAGATGAGATATGATAGTGTCATGAGACCAATAGTTGAGGTAGTTTGTTGTAATTTACCCAAAATATTAAGTAAACTTTGAATAACATTTTGATTTGGCATACTAATGATTTAGTATTTGGAACTGTAAACCGGCATGAACCGAACAAGAACCAGTATAAATGAAATCGTGGCATGAACTAAACGAGGATCGATTTGAACCGAACGATATGGTTTTAGTAAAAAATTTAAGCGGAACTGCAACGAACTGTTGATATTTCCCGGTTTCTATGCCCTTTTGAGGTTGGAACTGCACCAAACCGCACCATGCCCACCCTTACCTTCTGAGTTGAATTTTTAGCCCGAAATGATTAAAGAATGAATTTATGAAGATTTTTTTTTCTTAAAGTAACTTTAAAAAAAATTGTAGACTATCCTAGTTTAATTTTATGAAAATTTCAATCTAAAAATATTTAGATTCCAATAAATATTGAAAAAAAATCAGTGAACTGACACCATCAAACTCGTGGAACACTATGAAATTGAAAAAATATGAAACACATGAACACATGAAAGATTTTTTTAAAATTATTTTAGTCATTGGATTTAAATTTGGACTTTTATATCTTTTTTTTAGGGAGTTTTAACGAAAAACCCACGGTACTGTTCACTTTAAAGAAAAACCACATTTTTACACTAAAAAGTCAATCATGGTACTATTCATTTTACCTTTTATTTTGTCCTTATCATTAAAACTCAAAGTTTTCAAGCCATTTTCATTAGTTTTTTTTTTTTTTTTTTTTATCGTTGGATTTGATCATATTAGATCTTAGTCAGTTGATTCAATGTATTTATAAATATAAAACTAAAAAAAATATAGATATATGGTGGACCCAACCCACTAATCTAGGGTAAATTCTGGCCTAAATCTGCCCCAAAAATGAGTTTTAGGTTAAAACTCATATTTGGCTCAAGGTTAGAGCAAGTTGGGGTAGGTTTAGATTGTTTAGAATCTAAAATTTGAGTTTTATTCTAATGGTTGGAGTTGGTCTAAAGGGGGAGAAAAACTTACTCTCCAAATAATACAAACAGTAATAGGAAAAGTTTAAGGGAAGTGTTATTAGCACTCC